CAGGAGGAGCAGCTGGTAATGAATAAAACACATTTCCATGGCTGTTAAAAAGTAAGGCCATTTGCACTTGACTAAAACTTCAAATGTCAGCAGTTCTGAATGCATGAAGGTCTGCTCATTAACATGTTGTTTTTTAAATTTTAATATTTTGTTATGTACAGAAATTGGATTTAATCATTTGTCTGCACCAAAAACCTAGTAGTTAGTGTGGTAACACATAGCATGGAGGTGCTCAGGGCCACCTGAGTTCGATTTCTGGCTTAAGGTCCCTTCTCCTACTGTATCTCTGCTCCCCATACTTTCATGTCTTTGTATCTCCACTATCCTATCTCAAATTAAAGATGCCTAAAAAATAATCATAATTTGTAATATTTAGTTGAATGATACTGTAAGTGCCATGTCTAGCATACCATGACTGTGGAGACAAGTTATGTACTGTGAGGTATTTCATGATATACATCTGTTGGTTTTCATGCTGCTTATGGAGAAAAACGGCCTTGGAGTTGGTTAGAGCCACTCTATCAGTCACTGCTGGAGCAAATTGTCCCTGTCCCAGCCTTAGACATCATCTTTACTGCTGACAAACTGCCTTTCTGAGCCAGGTAGCATGCTAAACAGCCATCTCTCACACCTGCCCATGCACAGAACTGCTCACGTACACCATTGCATATAACAATAAAATACAACAATCTAAGCAGAATGCAACATGCAGACTGATTGCCTTAATTACTTGTTTATGCGTGATGAAATGCACATAATGTCAGGCACACGAGCCGCAACATTCACTGACATTCTCTGACATTCAGACTCCTTTCTAACCCCCTTGTGACATTCAGGATTTGGCTGTAGGATGCAGCAGTTTTTATACACAAGGGATTATGTACTCGTGATTACTTCCAAAACAATGGAGACCTGTTCAGCCTTTGACCTGATACTGCAGTATGTTCCAAATCCACTGGAAATCTTCATAAAGCCATGATTGAATTTAAAGTAAAAAAAACATACCAACATATTAAAAAAGTGATAGTATGTATTTAATCTAAAACTATGATATAAAGGGTGGCACAGTGGCTCAGTGGTTAGCACTGTCGCCTCACAGCAAGAAGGTTACTGACTTGAGTCCCGGCTGGGTCAGTTGGCATTTCTGTGTGGAGTATGCATGTTCTCCCTGTGTTCGCGTGGGTTTCCTTCTGGTGTTCCGGTTTCCTCCACAGTCCAAAGACATGCGGTATATTGAATTGAATTGAATAAACTAAATTGGCCATAGTGTATGTGTTTCAATGTGAGAGTGTATGGGTGTTTTCCAGTACTGGGTTCCAGCTGGAAGGGCATCTGCGGTTTAAAACATATGCTGGATACAATGGTGGTTCATTCTGCTGTGGCTACCTCTGATGAATAAAGGGACTAAGCTGAAGAAACTATAATATAATCACTATTATTTAATATATTTAAATGTCATTAGATACACTTTTTAGTTGGTTAAACCCAGGATGGCTAATATAGATTTAATTGATTTGTATTGCAATATCCAAGCTTTTGTGGGTCTTAATGCCTTTACTTACTCTTAAATTTTTAAGACAATTTAATTAGCAGCAGAAAGCTATATAATATGGCATTATTTATTCAATTACATCATCATTTGTGTTATGCACAGCAAATGAATGAACATCTAACTTAATGATAGGTTTTATTTTCTAATACAAATACCAGAACATCAATAAATCTAGATGAAATTAACTTTTAATCACAAACTTTCTTGTGTGATTGTTTGTTTATTACACAACAAATCCAACATACATAGCTATCAACTAGCTATATACAAGCCAGGGTTTGCATTCAGGGAAAATACATAAAAAATAAGAAATAAATAACAATAAACAGGAAAAGAAAAATCTCTGGGCTCAGAAGTGACCTTTATGCATCTCTAATATAATACTTTTCATTTTTCAGTACACTTTAGTTTATCTAGTTATTCTATGAGAAATTTTCTTAATGAATTCAGACTTTAAAATTGTTTTTTGTTCCATAAGCGATATTTTGTCCACTGGGAAACTAAATTTTTTATCAGTTTCTTTCTTATGTCATTTTGTTCCTCTGGTGTATCTTGATTTATGACTGTCTAGACATTATTTAATGTGTAGACGACATTATAGTGAGGAAGAATATAAGTTTTTATAAAGTTATATGCAGGGCCTGACATTAACACCCGCCAAATGCGGATAGATTTCAGCTGCTGCACTTCCACTAGCCACTTCGGCTGTTTGAAAATACTTTTTATATTGAATTTTTTTTTTTTAATTAGAGTTCAACAATAGAGATGACCAATGTGCGTGCAAACGTGATCTTAGAATTGAGAAGCAGCACGCGTTTGCATTAGCAAAATAAAGCAGGTGAATGGTGAATAATGAGAATGAGAGGACACCCTTTTTGTATACAGCTGCAGTTGCCTCTTTCGTTTTAACTATTTTTTTTTAACAGATTATGGACCTAATGTTAACCGTGTGCTCGTGATCATCCTTTTGTTATTACACATTGTGGGCCCTATCATACACCTGGCGCAAGGCGCAACGCAATTGTTGTTTGCTAGTTTCAGCATGCCGCAAGAGTCGTTTTGTCGTTTTGAGCCATGCTGTTTAAATAGCAAAAGCTTTTGCGCTCATATGTGCGTCTATAGGCATTCTGATCTAGAAAAGGAGGCATGTTGAGGTGCATTGCTGGCGCGTTGCTATTTTGAGAAACTATAACAGTCTGTTTTATAGACCAGAACAAAACCGGTCTATAGTCCAGCGCAGAACACGTTAGTTGTGTGCCTCGCTTACACACTGCTTAATACACACAAGATGTAGAGCAATATGCAAATATCTTAACATATAAAAAGACTTAAAATATTAAGGATATATATAGGATATAATAAGGATATATATACAGTAGGGTATAAATATAAAGGATTAAAATATATCAAAACATATTATTTTCTAGCCTATATAAATCTAAAAACCATACTTTCATGCCTTCTTCATCTCAGGGGGTTTTTCAGTTTATTTGCGACAATTTAATTTTGTATAATGTTATTATTATTAGCAGTATTATTTATTATATGCATATTTATATTTGTTTTATTAAAAACAAGTTTAGATTTGCCCACCTGCCAGCTTTTAGACCATATGGGGCATAGCATGTGTATTAGGATATAACTCAATTAATTTGAACACATTTTGTTATTATTGTTCATTTATTCGTTTGCTGGAAACTTTAACTGAATTTAGAAATAGTTTTGAAACAAATCTATGCGCTTAACAAACGAAATTAATTATTTATAGGCTAATTGATGTCGTTGCGTACAATACTTCCTTATCCAAGAGTGAAAGTGAAAGTAAATTATGAGGAGACTGAACTCTCATTCTCACGCTGTAGATGCTCTGTTTAACTGTTTTCTTGCTAGTAAAATGCTCAGTTTTTTCACTTACAAAGTCGTCATGTAAATAGCAAATTCGCTATGGTGCGACGCAACTGATTCTTGAAGGGAATGTGAGATGAGACTCTGATTGGTTTTATTCTCAAAACACACCTATAACTCATTAAGAGAATAAGCTCAACCCTTTTAGCAAGTTCATACAAAAAGTGAAATGAATAAAGAGGCATGTGGACATAACACAAAGTCTAAATCATGTAATTTTAGCCTTTCAAAGTCAAATTCATGCAAATAAAATATATTTTCCCAACAACAAAAGTGTGGCTAGTGAAAATAGCGAGTGGCTAGTAATGTTGGAAAACTACTAAGTTTATACTAAGTTAATGTCAAGCCCATGTTATATACCCCATAATGTTATTCATATTTATTTCTCGTAGTGATATTAAAGTAGTCAGGCTGTGCCAAGCTTTTAGGATTTATCACAAGATTTGTTTCCCCTATTCTTGACTTTTTTTTTTAACCGCAAACTCCATGTGGTCCGTTTAATGGTATAACTCGTGTCCCTTATGGTTCTTTCACATGCTGTCTACTGCTCCAAAGCTGTGAAAGTAGATATGTGCCTCGTAGACCCCAGAGGCATTGAGACTCAGCACTGGAAAAAGCCAGTTTAATATTTCTCTACAGCATCTCAGCGGTTCACCAAAGAACTTCACCTCAAAGATGTCTGTTTATCCAAAGCCGTGCAGTTTAAAATGCCATAAACCAAACACTGACTGATATATCAAAATGTCAGGAGACCGCCAGAGAGGCAGTCTGGAATGCATCTCGTACTGTATTGTGCCATTGAAGGTTAATCATATCTTTTCTATAATCTAAATATCACAGTGTTTTGAATCACGTTTTGATGCATATGATGGCATTTGTCTTTGTGTTTGTTTTTCTTTATATAGGCCAGTTCAAGTGTAGAATACGATGAGATTAGATCTCTCTCTGACCATGACGGGTCTGCAATAGGATTCCATCTGTACTGCTCTAACCTTATTATTGCAAAGCCTAAGGGTCTGTATTATATCAGTGTCTGTGGCACGGCCTAAGCTCCAGATCATTGTGATCATGTGTGTGTGTGTGTGTGTGTTTGTGGAGGAGGGAAGGACAGAGAGTATTGCCCTCATTTTGAGTTGGCATGATTATTGTGCCATTCGTGTGAACATTTATTAGGTCAGACCAGGAGAATTAAACTGAACTGGACAGGATCAGCTTGTTTCAATGTTGACAGATTAAAAAATAGTAGTTGACCTTAAATGGGTTTATTTTTTTGTGTGTTTCTTTTATAATGTCATGTTTTGATAGATCTCTGTTTATTTATTATTATTATTATTTTTATCCTGTAAGGTATTATGAGAGGCCTCAATGTGGATCTCAAGTGAAAAACTGATTTTCATTCATGTTCAGTTTTTTTTATTGCAAAAACAGACAGTTTTACTATACAAGTTGTTACATACCATTATTTTTGTGTTTGTTCTTTTTTACAAATCAGAAAAAAAACATTTATAAAAAAAAAGAAAAAGGAAAAAAATAATAATACGGGAAAAAGAAAAATGGAAACAAGAGTAACAAAAGTGTACAGAAAATTACAACCAACTAAATGCAGTTATTTTACAATCCCAATCAGATATTCAGATCGGTTGTCAATATTGAAAGTAAATATTTATAATTAAACAGTATACGATAATAATATTTATAAACAAATATAAAATAAATGACTAAGAATAACCAACAGAGCTCTTATCACTCACTGACCTGGGGTCTTTGATGGAAATTAATATTAGGAAAACGGAGGAGGTCATCTTAGACCCCAGGTCAGTGAGTGATAGGAGCTCTGTTGTAGTTTATAATAAAGACATTAAGCAGGTTGCTTCATATAAATATTTAGGGATGAATAATGATTGTCCCTAGAGCCAGTTTCTGTGCCCGACAATTGGGTTGTCTTGGTCCTAACCTTCGACTGTTCCGCAATGCACCGGCCCCTAACTACTCCCCCTGTAGGTGGTGGGGCCGCAGGAAGATGTTCCTATGTTGCTTCTTTGGGCTAAGCCCGACCGGGTTTCGTGGGAAAAAACCTGGCCACCAGGCACTCGCATACAAGCCCCAACCCCAGTCCTGACTCCAGCGTAGGGCCCCGGCTGCGCCATACCGGGTGACATCACGGCCCTCGATGTAATGAAGTTCATAAGGGGTTTCATCCAGGTTGGAGGAAAGTCCTTACCCCAGGTGGAGGAGTTCAAGTGTTTTGGGTTTTGGTTCAGGAATGAGGGAAGGATGGAGCGTGAGATTGACAGGCAGATCGATGTAGCGGCAGCAGTAATGTAATCTCTCACCCATAATCTCTCACCCGGGATGAGTTCGGAGTAGAGCCGCTGCTCCTCCACATCGAAAGTCAGCTGAGGTGGCTCGGACATCTGTTTCAGATACTTCCTGGACACCTTCCTAGGGAGGTATTCCAGGCATGTCCCACCAGGAGCACTTATGCACTATGCACTTATGTACTTACACATTCAACTGCGTATGTAGTGTCATCCCAAATGGAGCACTAATGGGTTTTTTTACTAGGCGAAAATTCAAACTGTTTCCCTGATGTAGTTTGACAGTTGCCAAATCAGTAAAATAAATGAACAAACTACCAAATAATACCTGCCTTGAGTATAACTGCATTCACCATCAGGAGGCGCTATAATTACTCTCATAGGAGAATTTTGCTTTTACCATAAAAAATAAATAAAAGTTATCCAACATGTGTGCCCGATAGCTCCGCCCTTTTCATGAGCAAACCTGCGGTTGTTACAGAGTGCGTGAAGTGTCCGTCATTACACACTTCATTTTACCGGCTGAATGAGAGCATCATCTGGGTAATTAAAGCACACTTAGTATTTTTAGAGTTTTTAGTGTGAACGCACTACTTACACTGTTTATACTACAAAATGGCCTAGAATAGGGCATGCGTATGCGATTTGGGATTCAGTTTAAGATTATTCGTAGTGAGTAGCAGCATAATGCTAACTTTTTTATAAAGCAACAATAAGAGTCTATTTTAAGGTATGGAATTATTGTTTGGTTTGTAAATCTGACAGTAAAAAAGAGAACCCAAGTAAATAACCTGATGAGTGTGGCAGGACAAATTATGGGAATGGAGACACTTGGTTCGCTAAAAGGTATCTTTGAGTTGTGCACAATTGAAGCCAACAAGATTTTATTTGATATTGTTTGATTCTTTGCATGTGCTGTCTTTAGAGTATGAGTTGATAAATTCTGGCAGAAGATACAGGATCTTGTTATGCAAGTATAGATTTAAACATTCTTTTGTTCCCTTTTCAAATAAACTGATCAATGAGCAAGTAGGGTAGAGAGCAGTGGGGGCTTGTATTTTTTATTTATTTTTTAAGGATTGTTTTTATGGAACCGTATTTACATGTATATTAGGAGGTATTTTAAGATCAGATTTTTGTGTTGTTTTTATGGAACCGTATTTACATGTATATTAGGAGGTATTTTAAGATCAGATTTTTGTGTTTGTATTTTATATGTTGTCTTGTTGATGTATGTGTACAGCAGATAATCAATTTTACCTTGACCTTGAAAACATTGCCCGTTAAAAAAAAAAAATTATAATAATCCCAAAGCATATACCCTTTTCCAACTTTAGAAAATACATGGTATCCACAACCCATTGGGATGTAGTTGGAGGCTTATTTGATTTCCAGTGAAGTAGAAAACAGCACCTAGCTGATAATGAAGTAAAAGCTAAAATATCATGTTCAAAATTAAACTGGGACCAAATCTTTTGAACACCAAAAATGGCTATATCAGGGGATGGGTCTATATTTATCTGAAACACCTTAGACATATTTGTAAAATAAATAATCCAGTAATCCTGTAACATAGGGCACATAAACTTCAATTCGGAAATCTGGACTTTACTACAATGTCTGTTAAGCTGCTTTGACACAATCTTGATTGTAAAAGAGCTATAGAAATAAACATGAATTTAATTGAATTGAATCAAAAACATATGACTTAAATTCTGATTTCCATTTATACCTGGTGTTGCTAGTGTTGCAATTTTGTTTAGTCTTTTTTCAATGTAATACTCCAACAGATTTGTAATACTGTACACACACTAATAATAAAAAAATAAAATAATAATAATAATAATAATAATAAAAGTACCAGATCGATTAAACACACTTTATGAATAGGCTACTTAATGCATTGTGCAATATAAATAAAATATATTTTTCTGTCCAGTTCCAGTTTTTTCCAGTGAAATCTCGAATTTATATTCAGAACACAGAATTTACATTGTTTTAACATGTATATTTATGGCTTTATTAAGTTAAAAGTTTAACAAACTTTTTAAAACATCAAAAATCTTTTTATAAAATAAATATGCAAAGGATAAATGTATCATATGAAAAGGCAGATCATGCAACATCATCCAAAGCTTTAGAGGCTGAAATCTCATTTCTGTATGTTTCTTTGCATAGAATAAAATTATCAGCACATTATTAACGTTCTCCTTCAAATAAAACATTCACAATACTGAATATTTGGTTTTAAATCTGCTAAGAGTGTGCCTGAAAGTGGACAAGCTCAAAATTTTTCACACCCTGTTCACACCTGTACTTATAGAGTTGTCCACTTTTGATCAGATCAGTAAAAACACGTCAAGTGTTTTATATTCACTTGCATTCAGACAAAAACAAAGAAAAGCATTAAACAAAACAAACACAAATTTTAGTGACATTCACTGTAAATACTTTTGATAAAAGTCAACCCTAAACAAATTTATTGAAACTAGCACCATGTGGAAAATGTGCTATGCAAATACTTGCGTGTCACTATCATGCAGCACACAACCAAAGTTACGTCCAATGTGTACATGTTTTCTTTGTGTAATATAAATGGCATTAAACAGTCATAAGTCGCTTTGTAAAATAGCCTGTTTCAGATCATAAAAAACCTATTTGTATTCAGAAAAATATTATCTATTATTATATTATGTTATGTAAAAGTTATTGAATAAGGGTTAATCCTATAATAATACAAAATTAATATATATATATATATATATATATATATATATATATATATATATATATATATATATATATATATATATATATATATATATTATAATATAATGTAGTATAATATAATATAATGTGAAATAATATAATATAATATAATGTAGTATAATATAATATAATATGAAATAATATAATATAATATAATGTAGTATAATATAATATAATTTAATATGAAATAATATAATGTAATATAACATAATATAATATAATATAATATAATATAATATAATATAATATAATATAATATAATATAATGTGAAATAAAATAATATTAAATAATATAATATATAATATAATATAATATAATATAATATAATATAAAATAATATAATATAATATAACATAACATAACATAACATAACATAACATAATATAATATAATATAATATAATATAATATAATTGCTGTACTTTTTTTCCCCCCTCAACACAATTGTCTTATGTATTTTCTCTTTCCAAAAGGCACTGGAGATATAGTTGCAGTAATGATCACAGAGTCTTTCGGAAAGGAAATTCTGGGATTCCTGGAGAAAAACCAGACCGTGCTGGTGTCCGTGATTGTGGGTTCAAGAGGGATGCCCAAAAACATCAACCGCGGCTCCTTGGTGTTCGTCTCCATCTCCTTTATCGTCCTGATGATTATCTCCTCTGCTTGGCTCATCTTCTACTTTATCCAGAAGATCAGAGACACCAGCGCACGCGACCGCAGTCAGGTCTGACAACACGCACACATTCCTCTGTAGTTTAAAACACACACTCACGCTTGTATCTAAAAACCTTGCCAGAATTTTTCTTTCGCAGGCCTCCCTGTTATTTTACAGGCTTATCTGACCTTCAAGAACTTCCTGTGAGCTCAAAGATAGTAGTAAATGGCCCAGCATTCCCAGCTCATGAAATCTTAATGCAGAAGCGTGTGTGTGTGGTGACACTCTGCCGCTTCAGCGTCTGCTTCCACACAAACACACACACACACAGACCTCATTTCTCCACTGTAGTATTGATGTCTCTTGGCCCTTCCGCTTTTACCAGGCCTCTGAATTTACTACAGAGATTAACAGGCTATAATCAGGCTGTATTAACAACCAACGCTATTCATTTTTTATGAAGGCGAAATGTGTAAAGTCTGAAGCACTTTTTCATTAGATAGATTGGAAATAATAAACACATTTACAATATATGCACTGAGACCTGTAAACATTGCATATTGCGATTTTAATGCGATGGAAGATTCAATTTAAAGTGTGCATTAAGAGAGTGCATTAAACTGATTATTCTTGATAACCTGACAATGTGGAAGATTACTGAAACTGCATTTTTATCGGAGAAAAGGCTATGATGCATTTTACACTCATATACTTTTGATCAACACCTAATTACTGCTTAATCAGTGTGTTCAGTGTAAATGTTATGATGTCCTAACCAGGGGTGCGTTTCCCAAAACCATCGTTCGCCAACTAAGGTCGCAAGTTACGTCATCACAAGCATAGTTTGTTGTTTTCCCCCATCCACACTGACATGGAGCAGCAGCATTTTAAAACCAAAACGGCCTCACCAGCATTAAAAAAAAAAATCTGTTTTCAAGGCTGGAAAATCGGGTAGTGCGGATGGAAGGATTAACTGTAGCAAAACGTATGCGTTTTAAAACGTAAAACGTATTAGTGTAAACGGGTCCTAAATAGTGAGAAATAGTTTCCTCTGATCTGTATCATAAAAAAAATATATATTAAAAATGAAAACAGATTTATAATATACATAAATATACAGTTGACCACCCCTATAAGGGTTCATACCATTGTGAATGCACAATCAGTTTATGTGAGAATAAATTAATTATTAATTAGATGAGAGCACTGATAGACTATGTAAGTGTGTGTTCACAAAACACTTTTTTGCTTATAAAATAGCAGTTTGTTTCTACATTTTGCCAAAATGTAAAGTCAAATTAGATGCATAGTCATTTTTTTTTGTTTGAAAAAGTTGAAAAGGTGACCCCCCTGATCGTCAATGTGTAATTCGCACCCTGGGTATATATCATTACCGAAGCATGAAATATAACACTTTGCAAGACTTTACTATAAGGTTGTAGTTAATGCAGTTACTAACATAAACAAACAATGAACATACATTTGTTACAGTTATTTAATGTTAGTTAATGAAAATACAGTTGTTCATTGTTAGTTCATGTTAACTCACAGTGCATTAACAAATGTTGAAAAGTATGAATTTGAAAGTTAATATTGCATTTTAGTAAATGTTAAACTATGATTAATAAAAACTTTTGTTTATGTTAGTAAATGCATTAACTAATGAAACCTTATTGTAAAGTGTGACCAAAATCTTATTTTTATTTTGTGTATACAACGTAATGTAAATAAGTGGGCGTGACCAACTCACATAGAGCATGCGTGAGGCTGAGAAAGACATTATTGAGACTATCAGCAGTTTTGCCAATTGCTATTTTTCAACAAGAAGTGGTAACTTTGTATATTTTTATACTAAAATTGTAATTGTTCGACAAAGTAGTTTGAAATATCTTTAAAGTGTTTGCGTACTTATATTTTTATTTCAAGTTTTTTTTTTTCCAGTAACCTACTTGGCATATGTTTTATATATGTGAGAAGGTGGACAAATGTTTATAATAATTAGGTCTGTCCACATAAATCTGTGAAGTGTGACATAGAGTGTCATTTGTTGTTTATCTAAAGTCATATTTTAACTACAATGTTTATAGGTTAAAAAATAAAATATAAATTAATTAAATAAATAAGATCTTTAAATAAAGGCATTTTCTTTTTTTAAATATTCAAGTTTATATAAAGCCCTTTTTTACAGTTTCTGGAATAACTACCTTTATTAAAATCTTTATCATGCAAGATCTCGTTACCATGAAATAAACTTCCTCATACCATGAAAAACAATTTTGATCATACTTCCCAGCCCTACACATGACTGTCTGTGTTTCTTGTAAAACAAGTTTGCTTTAATCTTTTCGATCTTTAATCTTTTGCTTTATTTTGTTTATATTTGTTTAAAAGACTTGAATGCTTTTATTCAGCAAAAATGTAACAAATATACCAAAAGCGACATAAAAGTTTGTAACGTTACAGAAAATGTTATTTATTTATTTATTTATGTATTTATTTATTTTTGTTTATTTATGTGTTTATTTTTATTTTAAAATTTTATTTATTTATTTGTTTGTTTGTTTATGTGCTTCATTATAATCATTTAAATCATTTAATCTTTTAATCCAAAAAATGTTTTTTATTATTATTATTATTATTATTATTATTATTAATTTATTTATTTAACTTTTTTATTTATTTATTTTGTTTGTTTGTTTGTTTGTATGTATGTTTGTTAGCTTTGTGGTATTCACTTTCTTTTAATCCAATAAAAAAATAATGGTAGCATGCCATGTCAAAAGAAATAAATGCCTCATAAATACCAAATCATACCAAATACCGAATGTGATTTTTCTGAAGGATCACAGGACAATTGAATAATGGCTGTTGAAAGTTTCTGGAATAAATGAAATGTTATCCATTGTATTTATGCTTACATATATGTTAAAATATTACTTGTGTGATTATGTAATAATGTGATTATGTGATTTTCCATGACTTTACAGTCATGCTGTATTTTTAATCAAATAAATTCAGCCTTGGTGACTTCTATTACAAACATTTACAAAACGTACCATGGCCAGACTTAAGAACAGTATTATAAATGCTGCATTTACCTGATTAATAGGCTTTGTTATTGCTTTGATTTAAATAATCCAAATATAATTAGAAACATTTACACATACAGTCACACACACACACATATACCGTACCGCCCATTGACTTTTTTTATCTCTAATTAAGCTAATTATAATTACACGCTGACCCTAATACCTTTGGTAAATTTTAGATGTTAATTAAAATATAGTTTGGCCATTTTATGACCTATACCGTCCTCCCAAGTTAGTTTTCAGAGAAGTCTATTTGTGTCTATATTTGTCAGACGTTCTGAGACCATCACAAATAAAGCCAACACAGTTTAGCACAAATCCTTTGGCCCTGCTTGGCTTTTTCTGTAAACTGTCGGCAGTAAATCTCGGAGCTGTTTATTTAGCAATAAACTGGCCGAATGAAGAGCGAGGACATCTCAGAACAAACACTCATAAACACACACACACACAATGAACCGTCCATCACAGACTGCACTTAGCGTCTTTTATTTATAGCCCTCTCCGTCAGGCCTTTCACTAACTCTGTCTCATTTGCTGTATACAATCCTGATAGACAGCCTGGTATGTTGCTTTTATCACAATTAATACCTCTAATGCATCCTCCCATGTTTTATTTCTCAGCCCTAGCTTGTTTAATAAAATCTGAATTGTGTTTTTTTTTTACTGGTTAGAGTCTTTTACTTCCCCAACTTTCTTTTTAATTTCCTGTTTCATTAAATCAAGCTGTGATTGTGAAATGATGTGAATTACTCTCTCCTCTTGTCCTTTGTTTCTATAGCAACGGCTGGGAGATGCTGCCAAGAAGGCCATTAGCAAGCTGACTACCAGGACAGTAAAACGAGGGGACAAGGTGAGGTCTTTTGACGTCATCTCTTGTTTACTTTTCTCTCTATCCATCTCTGCCAGGCTATAGTTAGCAGCACTGTTTCTTATTATGGAGCTGTTTGTGTTATTCTCCATTCATAATGCATCTCTGTGCTTCATGACAGACTCTGGACACGTACACGTTGCTGCTAAATATGGTTGTCACTCTTTGTCCCAGTGTACGAAGGGGTCTTAATTGTTTACAGCTGTATTCTGTAAACTGATTTAACTCTTGTAAATTACAAGTAGCAATAACTGCATTTACATGAATTACAACTTTAGGAGTAGCCCATGCATTACGGTCCACAGTGCATGCTTTTTAAAAGCAGACACCTAAATGTCGTAAACAAAACTAGGTGCCTTTGGAAATTGCTAGATGATGATGATGATGATGATACAGTGCTCAGCGTAAATGAGTACACCCCTCGCAGATCTCTCTTTTACTTGAATGTTTTCAACAGGATGCTTAACAATAATATGTTTTTGCATAGACCTGTGCTTTACATTACTTGACAAAAGTCTTGTCATCGATCAGTTGTAAGAGCAACAAATAATAACTTGACTTGTTCGTTGATCATTTGGAAAGGTGGCAGAAGGTAGATTTTTTTCAATGAATCATTTTAAATACTGCTGAAGACCTACTAGAACCCAAAGAAGATCAAGGTGCTCCAGGATTGGCCAGCCCAGTCATCAGATATGAGCATGTCATTATTGAGCATGTCTGAGTAATGATGAAGGAGGAGGCATTAAAGAGGAATCCAAATAATCTTGATAAATTCTGGGAGTCCTGCAAGAGTGTTTTTTTGCCATTCCATGTGACTTTATTGATACTGTAGGTATTTGAGTCATTGCAGAGATGTATGGATGCAGTTGTCTAAGCTCATGGGAGTCATACACAATATTAATTCTTGTTCTACTGCACCATGACTTTATATTCTATACTGTTCATCATTTCAGTTTGGTGACAAGACTTTTGTCTAAGCAAAGTCAGATCTTCTGTCCTAATTAAATAATTAAAAATCAAGACATGATCATATTTTATTTGGTAAGTAAACATAATCTAGAGGACTTTGCCTTTCATATTAGCCATACAAATGATCAAATAGAAGTTATTATTTGTTGTTCCTAAAACTTGGATATGCGCCAAGACTTTTGTCAGGTAGTTTATATTAATCAGTACCAAAGCCAAAACTGAAAGTAATCTAACAAAAAAAGTAATATCACAGTTTAAAAAAGTTTGTTAAATGAGTGAAATTTTTGTAGTTTGTAGTTAAATTTTATGCAATAAATGTTTAATTTTAAATGTATTATTTTTATATTTCTCAAGATGCTATGCGAATAAACCCTTATTTTAATTTAACAGTTTAATTTTCTGTTTACTTTAAATACACCAAAATAGATTGTCTATATTTAATGAGAAATTGATAAAAGTGTCACTTTGCAACACTAAAGATTACATCTATATATTTTTTTATTCATTGAGTATATATAAAATCATATATGATTCAATTTTAAATTAGTTTTTGAACTAGATATGTGTCATAGACTAGCACAGTAAATGCATCATTACTTTCATTATAATATAATGCGTACTAAGGACTAGATTTACTCAACAGGGTTAATTAGCTTTCTGCGATCTTGAATAAACACCAGTGATTATTCTAGTTTCAGTTCTGCAGGTTTTCTACAGATTATATGTACCAATAATGATACCAATTAAGAAGAACAGTTAATTGATTCAAAGCTTCACCTTTAAATTATATGCTGATAAAATAATTGCATACCGTATATTGTGAGTGATAGTTTCATTCGTGTTCTTGTACTGTCTCATTATTTATTAACATTTTCAGCTGTTTTTTTTTTTTTTTAATATATTTTCAGTTTTGGTTTTAATTTAAGTTTAAGTAATTAGTTGTAGGGCTGTGTGATTTAGGCAAAATATCTAATTGCGTTTTTTTTGTTATATTGATATTGATATTGCGGTTTCGATTTCGCTTTAATTTGCAATTACATTTTTTAGTTAAGCTTCAGCTCGATCACACTCCTCATATAGCCACCTCTGGTGCTTTTTTAGGTGCTGGTAGTTGTATTTCCTCATGCTGTGGCAACAATTCTGTGACATCTATTACAAATGACCTGTTTTTGTTTTGTTGTCTCTGACTTTGAAACCAAAATATTCCTATATTACCGACATGCTGTTTTTTTTTTTATATTATCTAGTCTATTTAATGGTTTTGAAGCAGGAGACCTCATCATCCCACTTGTCAGTGCTTTTCTGCTTGTTTTTTTTTTTTTTTCCAATTACACTATTCTAATTGGGCAGAACGAAAAGTGTGCTCACTCAATTGGCTTGTTAGACTGTCACACAAAGACGCCAGTCATGCATTTGCTCTGGGCGAGAGAAATTTAAAAAAATATATATTCCTATTGTAACCTCCTGCGATTAGCTAATCGCAACGTTTCAAGTTGCAATTTTGATTTTGTACTTTTTGATTTAGGTTGACAGGTTGACAGTGCCAGTCACTAAAAACAGATAAAATAATGAACAAGCAGCTAATTTCTATAATGACTACCGTTTTAACACAGCACGAATTTGTGTAGGGTCACAAAAAAAGCAGATGTTTGGGTGGTGTCTTCTTGTGGTTTTCCAAATAAGAAATGTAGAAAATGATTTTCCTTCTACCACACACTTTCTGTTCTGTTTTCCTCTTGCTAGCAGCAAAATGTCAAGCACAAAGTAGGTTAAGACCCTTTTGTGTGTTAAACAATGGTGCAAATACCAGTACATTTAACCACAAATCTTTAAAAATAAAATCATATTGCATGATTCATTTAAATACTCTCCACCCATGCTCATTTGTGTCTGAACAAATGCATTTGCAATGAGGTCAGACACACCTTTTCATTGCAAATGATTTCCTCTGTGGGATTTTTGTAAACACAAACACTAAAAGAGAGTTTGTATTTCATGTTGATGCAAGCAGTTTGTAAATTTGACCATAAATCTTTGGCCTTTTATATTTATGAACGTGGTCTTAATTTAATCAATAATTGGCTGTTAAATATTGATGGCAGTCCAGTTAGGTTCATATCTAGAAGTCATCTTACTGAATGTTCCACAAAGTCCAAAGAAAGACATTGACCTGTGTAAAGGTGAATGACTGTCAGGTGAGCGATGAGGACGGGCTTCACAGCTGTTGGGTTTGGGGAAGGGGTGGAGCCGTGCCAGTCACTGCCTGCGTATCACAGCCCAGTCAAGGTCAGCTCACATCATCAGCCATGAATAAAACATCAGTGGCCTTGGAGAAGTGCTGCAAGAAATTGAAACCTTTCATCTGAGAGGTCATGCTCGGTAGAGATTGAGTGAGAGAACATCTGTCTGTGTTCCTTTACCTCTCTATCTTTATGGTCAGACCTATCGTTGATGGTACAAGTGCTCAACATGTATCCCTTTGGATATTTGAACAAGCCCTGTGTGGGATTATTGGGATCTGCACCTCTAACTTCTCAGAATGATGTTCAATGCCACTGATAAACCAGTCGTCTTCTGCTTGGTCATCACTTAGTCGTCACTTCAGTGTCTATTTCTGATTGGAATGCAGCTCTACCTACCAATTATATTGGCAAGAAAACAACTTCACCCAACCAAGTCTGGTTTCTCATAAGGTTTTTCCTTAAAGTACCAATAGGCGCTAGTTTGAAGGATCTTGGATAAATACAGCCTTTTAGATAAATACAGCATTGACTTCCATGGAAGTTTTTTGTTCCTTCTATAGTATGGATGTCAGTGGCTGATTTCTGACATTCTCCAAGATCCATTCTTTTACGTTCAACAGAAAAAAGACATTTATAAATGTTTAGAATCACTTGAGTGTGAGGAATGGTGAGGAAATTTTATCTTTGAGATTAAATTTTCCTTTATTTTCAGTCAGTTGGTGAAGTGTTGTATCCTTGCCACTTGCGGTGTTTCTATCTTAAGGTCAATCCAACCTTTTTAGATTTTGGCAGGAAAAAAAAGCAAATTAGGTGCATTTTCTTCAAGTGTTTTAAGAACTTATTGGTGGTATTAGTAATCCTAGTGAACGAGGAACCACACACAATGTCATAAGATGTGTAATATTAGGTTAGATTTAGGTCACCAGTGTTTAAGAACAACATTATTTTGACGTCCAAAATTATGTGAAATGACGTTGATATTTGGTTGGGTTTGTGTTTAAAAGAGATCAGAATCCAACATCAAGTCAACATCTTAAAGCAACGTCATATTAATGTCAAATACTGACATTTATTTGTCAAGCATGTCAACGGTAACATTGGTAACGTCCACACAACGTCAAGCTGTAACTTCATTAGACGTTGATATTTTGTTGTTTTTAGATTGTGTTGGAAAGTAACCAAAATGGAACGTCTGTCTGATGTTGGACACTGATGTCGGCCTGACGCTGGGTTCTGACGTCAACCTGATTTTCATTCCAAACAAAATGCAACATCCCACATTGTGTGGGGCACAATGTCAATCTGACATTATGTTGACGTCATGTTCCTGCTGGCCTGCAAGACACCATCAGTGGAAACAGCTGATTAGTTAAGTTTGTGTAATGTTGGTTATGTCAGGTTTTGTCTGCAAATGCATTTCCATCTACAGTTATTTGCATTACCTAAAAAAAACATCAAGTGAGCATGAAACGCTTTTCATCACTTGTTTTTGATTAATCTTTTTCTATCCATTTTTATTTCTATAGCGCTTTTACAATGTAGATTGTGTCAAAGCAGCTTAGCATAGAAGCTCTAGTAACATTAAACTGTCAGTCTAGTTTTTAGAGTTGGATGCGCAGCTCAACAAGTCCCAAACCAAGCAATCCAGTTGTGACAGTGGCAAGCAACAAAAATTCATCAATTGACGAAAGTGAAGAAAAAAAACCTTGAGAGAAATCAGGCTCAGTTAGACACAATCATTTCTCGGAGTCTGGAGATTGCTGGACATCCATCGTGGAAGCTGCAGGTGTAAGTAGGTCACTGGTGTTCAGGCTGGCCCATGGGATCAATGCGGAAACTTGTCTGTCAGTGGGGTCTTTCAGGAATCAGTCTCATGCTCTCCACTCCTCCATGACCACCACAGCATCTGCTCAGGATACAGCCTGGTTCAGGATTATGGAGACCTCAAGATAAGGAAAACAGACTGTGTGTAGATGCCGTTCATATTATAGTGTTTTTTGGGAAGTGTTCCCATCTCTGTTTGCCCTAATTAATGAAGCCTAACAATCCTTTAGAGGATTTCAAAATCATTTGTGTTCCAATCTAGTGTCTTTAGGCTTGTTTTAAACTGACAGAGTGTATCTGCCTCTTGAACTGTGCTAGGAAGACTGTTCCAGAGTTTAGATGACAGATATGAGAAAGATCTACTGCCTGCAGTTGATTTTCATATTGTGGGATTAATCAATTGTACGGAATGAATTGAGCATAGTAGACATGAGGGGCTGTTATACACCAAGAGCTTCCTCAAATACTGGGGAGCTAAGCCTTTCAGGGCTTAAGGTAGTCAATAAAATTTAAACATTTTTTACAATGTTTAACTTGTTTCTGATCTGATACTTCAAAATGTGCACTTAAACTGGGTGATGAAAACAACTCTTGTCACCTTTGATTTGCTTAGCTGTGGTCAACAAAGCTATGTCTGTTACAAAGTACTAAATTGAATCATTAGTGAAGTAACTACAAATAAAACTGCATTCTGTGGAACTGAATATGTCCAATTTACTGAACTTGCTTCACACAGTTGAAACTTCATACCTGATTTTCGATTATTGCCCGTTTTCTTTGGAAAGATGCTTTGGTATAATTTTACATTGTTTAAAACTAATAAAAATATGTCAGACTATTACTTTTTCCTTCTAAAGCAATCACCTACACATCTTCGATCAGTTATAACTTGTTTTTTCAGCAAAGAAGCATCTTTACGGCTTTACTGCTTTGGCCTGTGGGTATCAGCCTCGTCCCTCTGCAGGGACCACAGTCGATGACTCTCGCTCTGAGAGGGGCCCATTAGAAACCAAACACCACTCACCACAACATGACCTTGACCATGCAGACTCGACAGGACACTGTCAGGTGACGGAAATAGCATCTAAAGTAGAGAAGGTGCTTCCAGGAAGAACAGGGCAGAGTGTGATATAAAACCTGCAAGGTTTTTTGTCACTTTCTAAATGGCTCCTCACCCACGGAGGTCTAGTTAGCTGCCTGAGTGATGCGTCGCCTGCTACTAGAGGTATATTTATCATACAGTATATAAATAGTATGTATAAAAAGTACTGCTGGTAGGTTTACCACGTAACACCAAATCTAATTGGACACTGTGGTTACACGTTTTATTTTTTTATGTGAGAGCACTTCCAGCGTCATAGATATCAAGTTATTATTACATAATATAATGTTATGTTGCTTACAATTACAAACTAGTGTTTTTTTTACTGTTGGATTTTTAAAAATTGATTGTCTTTATTAATAACATGCTAGTTTTCATTAATAGTATTTTATTTCCCTATAGTAGAAATCAATAGGAATATTGAAAGGAACATTTTTTATATATAATTTGTTTTATAATTATTATAGTTCACTTAAGCAGTTTTTTTTTCATTTGGTTTTTCAATCAATTATCTAGAGCTGTTAATTTATTTAAAATGTAAAACAAATGTTTTAATGTTTTGCTGATGAAGTCTGTTTTTTTATTATAAATATATATATATATATATATATATATATATATATATATATATATATATATATATATATATATATATATATATATATATATATATATATATAATATTCACTGTCCACTTTATTAGGTACAGTTTACTAATTCTGACCCTACCATCTAAATGTCACAGTAGAAATCGAGACTGTTTAGATCCGGCAGCATTTTTCCAATCTTCTATTGTCCAATTTTGGTAAGCCAGTGTGATTTGTATCCTCAGTTTACTGTTTTTAGCTGACAGGAGTGGCACCCAGTGTGGTCTTCTGCTGCTGTAGCCCATCCGCCTCAAGGTTGGACGTGTTGTGCGTTCAGAGATGGTCTTCTGCATACCTCAGTTGTAACGAGTGGTTATTTAAGTTACTGCTGCCTTTATATCGGCTCAAACCAGTATGCCCATTCTCCTCTGACCTCTGGCATCAACAAGGCACTTGCACCCACAGAACTGCTGCTCACTGAATATTTTCTCTTTTTCCGATCATTCCCTGTAAACCTTTGAGATAGTTGTGCGTGAAAATCCCAGTAGATTAGTAGTTTCTGAAATATTCAGACCAGCCTGTCTGGCACCAACGACCATGCTGCGTTCACAGTCACTTAAATTACCTTTCTTTCCCATTTTAATGTTTGGTTTGAACTGCAGCAGATCGCCTTGACCATGTATACATGCCTAAATGCATTAAGTTGCTGCCATGTGATTGGCTGATTAGAAATTTGCATTAACAATTAGTTGGACAGGTGTACCTAATAAAGTGGCCGGTGAGTGTATATTGATTTACAGTTAATTAATATTTTGTTTTACAGTTTATCAATATTTTGTATGAGCTTTTATTTCTATATTTTCATTCAGTTTTATTTATTTAATTGCTTATTAGTTAAAAAAAGCTTGATAATCACTAGTAACTTCTACAAGCAGGCAATGTTTCCTAGGGGGTGTCAAGAATGGCTTCACGCTGACCTCATGGGTCATTCAAATGACATGGGCTGAAAGCAGAGCCAGAGAAATACAGCATCTTTGACACTTCGTATCCACTAAATCTGCCGAACGATCGCTCTCTCTGCTCAGCCACCCTGAAATAACTAGATAGAGACACTGTTACTTCAGCAGCTTTTTGCCTGGCAGTTGACATGAATTTCTTGAACTGCACTGATGGAATGTTTGAATGTTTTCTCCATGGGGTCTGTGAGCATTTGGAATTATTTGACACAAAATACACTTGGAATGGTCAGAATGACATGCAGTCATCTAATAATAGGAATGATGTATTCATTATGTGTACAATGCAAAGTATGGACATGTTCGCATTGAAACCCCAGATGACCTATTTCATTTGCAGAAATGTGACACGCAACCACTTCGTTCCACAATGATTGTATGTATAGACCCTATTTATTACTAAAAGCCCAACCAATCCACAAACCAGGCAGGAAAATGTGTAATATTATAAATATTTTGTATAATTTTGTTTTGACATACTGTATTTATATGCTATTACTTTGACTTTTTCTCACCCATCTTTAAAAAAATACACTGTTTATACAGTGAGGCTTGCGATTTGTTTTCAGTTTGTAGATGTAGGGCATATTACTCCATTTTATTTATGTCACTACTTTAAATAGCATACAGGTATTCACTTGTCACAGGAGCTGTGTGTTTAAAATAACATGCTAGCTGAAATAGCTTACTGTATAATGGAAAGTCCACTATGCACAATATGCTCCTATGCAATTGATTTTTAAGTAAAAAAAAATTGTAAAAAAAAGTGTATTGTTAAAGTATTAACAATGTGCATTATGCCATGCTAGACATTTCATATGATTGTATCCTACATTATGTGAATTATGTAACATGATATGCATGCCTGGCTCAACCAGTCATTGTTTCGTATATACATACAGGTTTATTCACAATATATTTTGCTGTTTTAACTATAAAGGTCATTTCAGTCTTGCGTATTTGAAGAAGCTCGCTTCACTTTCCCATCAACTGTATGAGTGTTTTATCTGAAGCTCAAATGGTGCACTTTAGAGTAGTTGGGCGACATGAATGCAAGGAGGAGGTCATGAGGTCAGATCAATATATAGCGAATGCAGGTACTCAGAGAGTATTGGCAGGAGTTTAAAGAGAATTTCACACCTGCGTTATTCTCATTTCTCACAGATCTGTGTTGTAAGGCCAGCATACATATTTAATAATAATGGACCAGTGATGCTGAAATCAAGATACAGTGTAAGAGAGGATCCAAATGTCCTAGAGAGAGTTAAATTAAAAGTGATTTTGTGTTATATTTATTTTTTTCCGATTGTAATTGCATTAATTATGAAATGTTAAAAAAAAAAAAAAAATATATATATATATATATATATATATATATATATATATATATATATATATTTTGAAGTCATATTGAATGGAGGGAAACTGATTTTTTTATTTTGTTTTGTTATTATTTTTTTACATTTTATTTTTGTTTTAATTTTTTATTAAATATTATTATTATTATTATTATTATTATTATTATTATTATTATATTTTATTTATGTATTTATTTACAATTTTTGTAATTTAATGACATTTTATTTTGTTATTATTTTTTATTTTTTTAATTTAATTTATTATTATTATTATTATTATTATTATTATTATTTATGTGTTTATTTTAATTTTTGTAATTTAATGTAATTTTAATCAAATTTTATTTTATTATTTTGTAATTTTAGTTTTTACATTTAATTTATTTATTTTTATTTTATTTTATTTTAATTCATTTGATGATTTTAGCAGAGCCCATCCAACAAATGATGAGCAGCAGGATTTTGACATAATCAGTTGCTGTTTTGAGTAGCATTGGACAAAAATGCAGCTGTGCTTAATTTTTTTTTTGTACAAATGATGATTTGTTTAGATTGTGTGCAATGGTCATTTATTGCATTTTAGCATCTGTTAAAATTGCCTGGTTTGCTTGCTCCTGCTGTGTGACATTGTGCTGTTCTTATTTGACTGGCAAATACTGTAGCACTAAATCTGGCCTAATGATTCCTTATGCTGCTTCTAATGTTGACACTTTCACTTTTTAGCTACATTTTGACTATAGGCTTATGTTTATATCTTGTCTTGTACATGTTTTGCAGGAAACAGAGCCAGATTTTAATCATTGTGCGGTGTGTATTGAAGGTTATCAGCTAAATGATGTGGTCCGCATCCTCCCTTGCAAGTAAGTGCACATGTGTGTCTGCAAATGTTTTTTATTTTTATTTAAATAGTCTATTTTTTACTTTCTATTATTTTTAATCTATCTATCTATCTATCTATCTATCTATCTATCTATCTATCTGTCTGTCTGTCTGTCTGTCTGTCTGTCTGTCTGTCTGTCTGTCTGTCTGTCTGTCTGTCTGTCTGTCTGTCTGTCTGTCTGTCTGTCTGTCTGTCTGTCTGTCTGTCTGTCTGTCTGTCTGTCTGTCTGTCTGTCTTTTATAAATGTATAAATAATATTATTAAATGACATTTGGGAGAAATTATCAGACCTTTATAAAAAAAAATATGAATCTCACATAAGTATTAAATTACTCAAACACATATCTATTAAATAAAGTACATCCAGGCAAACAACATAATAGTAATAACAGTAGTATTTTATATTCGTAATAATTCATTTTAAAATAAAATAAATATTAAAAATAAAAAAATAAATATAATAAGTAAATGCTGATGTGATTTTGCAGTAAACTCTTCCTTTAAAATCATATTATTATGTATACGGATCTATTCAATTCAATCCATGTTTATTTATATGCTTCTTTTTACAGTATAGATTGTGTCAAAGTAGCTTAACATAGTTCTAGTAAAGTCCAGATTTCAGAGTTGAAGTTCCCCTTCGGTTGGGGAACTTCAGTGCCATGAATGGGAGGATTCGGATCAGAAGCCGCTTATCTGGAGAGTATTGAACGGGCCAATGAATGAAATTAATTGGCAGCGTAAGCTTGCGCAGGTGTGCGACATCTGCAATCATCTCAGCATATAAGCACACCTGAAGCCAGCAGACGCCATCCTTTTCGCTTCAGATCCTTTCTGAGTGAGTCGATGAGGGTTCCTCTTGCTGATCAGCACTTCAGAGCGAACGAGTGTGTCTCCCGGTCCAGAGTGGGTCTTCGCGGTGGCAGACGGTCGAGCTGGGTTACTCCCTTGCCTGCGGTTCTTTGGGTCCGGTCCTCCAGAGCGGTGCGTATAGTTGCAACTTTCCTAAAAGAGCAACACAGTCGTGCAGCACGTCCTTTTCAGGATGGCGCTCCGACTGTGCGTTTCTGGATGCGGGGGTTTCCTGTCTCCGGATGATGGACACGATCACTGCATTGCATGTTTGGGGGTCCAGCATGTTAATGCGGTGCTCGCGGGCGGTTCATGTCGTCATTGCGATGCCATGACCGTTGCACAGCTAAGATCGCGGCTAACTTTCGCAAGAGAGCGAGCCACCCCAGTTGCCTCCTGTTCTAAAAAAGCAGCGGGCGCTCGGGCAGATCTGAGGGTTTCAGCGGGAGCTAATCCGCCGCCCACGGGCTCGCGGACCTCTCGCTCCTCACGGCGCTCCATCCAAGCTTCGGGTGGTGAGAGTGATCCGTCTAACCAGATGGTAGCTCTCACACTCGCTGACACCGGAGATCAGATGTCCTCCGCGGCATCGGAGGGTGGGCTTTCACTGTCCGACAAAGATCCGGACCCGCTCGCCCCCTCCGGGCAGGTGAGCGCTGTCAAATCGGATCCTGAAGCGGACATGTTAGCCGTGCTTTCCCGGGCTGCTTCGGCCGTGGGGTTGGAGATGGTTTATCCCCCAGCTCCGCGGCCGGACCGACTAGATGGGTGCTACGTAGAGGACCAGAAGGCGAAGCCTTCGAAGCCTCTCGTCCCCTTCTTCCCGGAAGTGCACAGTAGGCTCACGCAGTCCTGGAGGGCACCTTTCTCTGCCCGTGCTGCGAGTGCCTCCGCCCTCACCGCCCTTGACGGCGGAGCTGCCAGGGGGTATGAGGCGATCCCAGAGGTGGGACCAAGTCATTGTTTGGCAAGTCACAAGTAAGTCTCAATTCATTGCCCTCAAGTCCCGAGTCAAGTCCCGAGTCAAGACAGGCAAGTCCCGAGTCAAGTCCCGAGTCAAAGGCAACAAGTCTCAAGTCAAGTCCAAAGTCCTGCAGTTTGATTTTCGAGTCTTTTCGAGTCTTTTTAACAGAAAAATAAAATATATACAGATTAGGTATGGTTGTAAGATCTGTATTAATTAAACAAATCTTTTTTTATTAAAGAACATTGCTCAGATACATAAAAATACAAATGCAATTTTCTGAAAAAGTACTGAACAGTGCTGCGTCTCGTCTCCACAGCATAATGCACAAGAACGAGTTCCACCAAAAAAAAAGACTCAATTTTGCCTCACATCACATAGAAATTGCAGGTCTCCTGCTGTCTAATTCATTAAGTTTAGTTGTGCTATGTTATGTCTTCGGTGATCAACTTGTGATTAACCAAAATTACATAACCTCAATGTGGTAGCAGTAGACCATCTCCTGTATATGCTGCAAAGTTAAATTGAGTGAAATTGGAATTTTGTCAATTGAATCTCGTGTGTGCTAAAGAGATGGAGTTGCAAATCTGTCTAGCAGCAATGTAAAATGGTAGCACATATTGTTAATGAAGTAGGCTACTTCATACAAACAATAAAGTTGTTTTCTTCACATAACGTTGAAGAGCTTTGCTCTCTACCTTGTGTGATGCTCGTGCACGGATTTCCTCTGTTTGTGGACAAAACTGATTGCGAGTTCTCAAATTTTTTCTCGCTCTCAAATATGCACTGCTCACACACAAATTTTCTTGAGCGCTCTCAGAGATTATATGCAAACTCACAATTTGTGTCGTGTTCCCTCTTCCTTTCATGCTTTTTGATATGATTCATATTGCTGCACTGTTTAATAACAATAACCAAAATACTAAAATAGACTTATATATTAAATGTTTAATCTAATAAACCATAACATTTTTGGTTGTTTTATATGATGAGATATTTTCAGTTTCAAACACTTAAAGACAGAGAATAGACCAGTGGTGCCCCCCTGAAAATTTGCTTAAGGGGGGCCAGAAGAGGCCAGCTACGTCAGTGGCACCAATCAATCCACAATAATTTAGTGGCTGCTATTTATTTATTGAAATATTGCATTGTATTGCATTTATGTAAGTAGATTTAAATAAATAATGTCAACAGCAAAATCATATCGGGTTGGCCACAGGGGTGGCTAGAGTTTACACAGGGGTAACACCCCTTGTAAAGGGGTTTACACCACTATAAGGAACCCCTGGAATAGATGTTGGATGTAAAGAATACATTTTATTTTAAAAGCATTTAAACAAAAACTAATGCAAGCAGAAATGTAACTGTGATAAAAATAAGGAAACACTTGATAAGGTATTATAGCCTACTGTACTATTCACTCTTCAAATAAATCTCACTATCAATCTCATTTTATCATGGCAGATAAAATAAAGTAAACTAGTGTCTGCTGGCTTCCACTTTACTGATGAGATTGTGGAGGATATTTTCCATGTCATCCTCTTCATTTTGAGGAAAGCTGTGCCACAGGGCCCCTGAACACGCATATTGGCATGTACTGTGTTTTGAACAGTAGCCTACTACAGTAAAGAACTTCAATTGATCAGTTGTGGTAATACTATAGTTGCTATGGTAACACAAGTGTAATATAAACAAATTACCCAGTGCTGTATTATTTTACAATATAGGGTATTTTATACTACAAATCACTACACTTTACTGTAGTAAAACTACACTTTGTATTATTTTATCTGTTCACTATTGGTACTACTGTATTATGAAGCATTAATTAACAAGTCGTAAATAATACTAGCCTAAAACATAAGTATAATACAAGTATACAACAAGTATAATACTCAAAAACACTAGAATTTATTAAAGAATTTACCTTAACATTTTAGTTTTTTGTGTATTGTTAATAAATAGTAAAGTAAGAAAGAAACCATATCAACATTCTTGGAATAACCCTTCGCCAAGCCTCGTCCTCCTTAGTTACTGTTGCTACTACGCCTGTCAAGCTTTCATGCCTGGCACATCTATTACAGTGTGTATGCGCTGGTGTCAGACATTCCCAAGGATTTAATTAGTCATTTTTGGCAAACAGGTGAGATATCTGAGAAAGCCAGACAAAAGAGGACTGCAGTATACATTACAGGGGTATATTCACAACATAATAGCAACTGATTAGAAAATAATTTTATCAAAATTGAAGCAAGGTTAGCCTAGCCACCTCATACGCTGAACATTCAACAGCATAGTTCATGCACAGCAGGAGAGGTGAAATTATAAAATAATCTAATAACCTAAGAAACTGATGGATTTGTGCCGAATATTAGCATCATTGACCCATAACAGTGTACAGTACCTATTACTGTCAGCATGTTTGTGTGCTCTTTATCCAGTTTTTATTCAAATTTGCAGTTAAGTGGAAGAAAAAAAATTGAAATGCACATTAAAGTATAAATAACAGAAGTGAACAAATAGATTTTTCCTACCAGCAAATATTAGTGTATGTATTTATATGCGTTACAATAGCGAGGGTTTAAACTAAGCAGTGCTCACAGGGTTCAACGCTAAGGATTTTTTCTACTGGCCCAATCGGGCCAGTGGTTCTGATTTTTACTTGCCCAGCCCAAATTTTCACTGGCCCCACCAAAAAAAAAAAAAGAAGTTAATTGCTATTTGAATGTGCGTGTGTGTGTGTGTGTGTGTACACACACACACACACACACACAGTTGATTTCAGAATTATTAGTCCCCCTAAATTATTAGCACCCCTGTTTATTTTTTTCCCCAATTTCTATTTAACAGAGAACAGATTTTCTCAGCACATTTCTAAACATAATAGTTTTAATAACTCATCTCTAATAACTGATTTATTTTATCTTTGTCATGATGACTGTAAATAATATTTTACTAGATATTCTTCAAGACACTTCTATACAGCTTAAAGTGACATTTAAAGGCTTAACTAGGGTAATTAGGTTAACTAGGCAGGTTAGTGTAATTAGGCTAGTCATTGTATAATGATGGTTTGTTCTGTAGACAGTCTGAAAAACAATTAGCTTAAGAGGCTAATAAATTTTACCTTAAAATGGTTAAAAAAATGTTTTTATTCTAGCCAA